TCCCTAGGGTGCTGTGGGGACAGACCGGGGGCGGGGGGTGTGTTCTGGGTGCTGCGAGGTCCCCAGGGTGCTGTGGGGGGCTCTGTAACGGCCCCTTCCCCCGCCATGACGGCCGGTGTCCCCAGGGTGACGATGGTGACGCCAGCGGTCCTGCGGCTGGACACGGAGGAGCGGGTGGTGCTGGAGGCGCCGCAGTTGACCACCCCCACCGAGGCCACCGTCCTGGTGCAGGACTTTCCCCTCAAGCGCAAAGTGCTCGACCAGATCCGCGTGCCGCTGAGGCCCGACGAAGGCTCGTTGGCCAACGCCACCATCAAGGTATGTCACCACCCCTGTGTCACCTCCCTGCCGGTCACTGCCCCCTCCTACCCTGGGGACAGTCACCCTTGTGGGGCTTAACCCTGTACGAGATGGTGGAGAATCTCCACGGTGCTGGTGGGACCTAGTGAGGGGGGTGGGTCACCATGGGGTTTTCAGGGGTGGCCACCATGGGGTCTTTGGGGATGGTTGCTCTGAGGTCCTTAGGGACAGTCACCCCAGGCCCGTGGGGACAGTGACCCCAGGGTCCTTGCAGATGGTCGCCCTGTAACTAGAGGATGCTCAGTGGGTCCACGGAGGTGTTCACCTCTGGATCTTTGGGGACAATCACCCCGGGGTCCTTGGAGAGGCTCACCCTATGATTATAGACTGGTCACCCCTGGATCTTTGATGATGGTCACCCTGAAGTCCTCGGGGATTGTCACCCAGCGTCCTCAGCTCCGTTCCCTGGACGTGGGTGCCATCTGGTGTCCTCTGTCACCGCAGGTATTGGCCAAGTCGCTGCCGCAGGCAGCGGGGAAGAGGTTTGTCTCGGTGACGGTGCAGGTGGCCCAGACGACCCTGGAGAAGGTGCTGCTGGTGTCACTCCAGAGCGGCCACATCTTCCTGCAGACCGACAAGCCCATCTACACCCCTGGCTCTGTGGGTGTGTTCTTGGGGTGCTGCCTCTCACCATGGCATGTTGGGGTGCTGGTTGCACCTTGGGGTGTTGGGTCCCTCCCGCAGCACCTTGGGGTGCTGGACCCCAGCACCCGTTTGGGGACCTCCCCGTGATGCCCCCTTTGGGGTCCAGCACCCTTTGGGGACACCCCGCTGGCATCTCCACTGGAACGCAGCACCCAGTTTGGGGTCCAGCACCCATTTCTGGATGTCCTGCTCACCTTGTCCCCCGTGTCCCCTCCCAGTGCTCTGCCGCTTCTTCGCCGTGGGCCACCTCATGGAGCCAATATCCAAGACGGTGATCGTGGAGGTCAAGGTGGGTGCCCACTGGGGACACAGGGACATGGGGGCACAGCCAGCCATGCCACCGTCCCCACCCACTCCGTGTCCCTTCAGACTCCTGACAACGTCATCATCAGACAAGTGCCCGTGTCCTCGCCAATGAAGACCGGCATCTTCTCCCTCAATCACAACCTGCCTGAGGTTGTCAGGTGGGTGCCACCTCCCAGGGTGGCCCGGGGACATCTGTGGCCCTGAGCTTGTCCCCTCACCCTGTCCCCTGCCTCTTCCAGCCTGGGGACATGGACAATAACAGCCAAATTTGAAGACTCACCAGAAAAGGCCTTCAGCACCCAATTCGAAGTCAAGGAGTATGGTAAGGTTGGGGTGGGGGTCCCCAGACCCCTGGGTCCCTTGTGCCTATCCTGGATGCCTGGGTCCATTGGGTGTCCACCCCACAGTGCTGCCAAGCTTTGAGGTGATCCTGGAGCCCGAGGAGAAGTTCCTCTACATCGACCGGAATGAGAATTTCCGAGTGTCCATCACGGCCAGGTGGGATGGAGACCCCAAAACTGCTCATTTTGGGAGTCAGCCCCCCCCCCGGGCGATGATGTGGGGTGACATTCCT